TTCTCTCTTGCATGTGCACATACATGCTCTAGTATAAATTAAAAAAATAAAGAATTAACTTGCCAGAGAGCACATTTGCTCACTAGAGAGAGACAGATAGAGAGCAAGAGAAAGAGAGGAGGAAAGTGTGTGTGTGGTCATGCCACCATACCCTCGCCTCCATTTCTCCATTCTCTCAGGATTTGGGGCGCACAGGCATACGTGCCTGGCATGGTTTTTGAATCAAGGACCAAGATAACGAGTGCCACTGGCCTTGTGGGATCTGAATTTCTTAATCTCTTTACCATGGGGAGACCCTAAAAAACGAATTAAATATTTAAGGAGGAGCTTTCTCTGTTAAAAAAATATTAGGTTGTTAGGAGAGTCACAACATATTTTCCATGTTTTTCTATGTAAAAATGACTCATGACTTTCCTGATGTCCCAATATTTGAGATATTCCTAAACTAAGATTAACAGAAGTACCATATAGGAGGAGGAAAATATTTCCAGATATTTGATAAAAAGTTTAAGAAACATGACTTTGCAGTGAAGGAAACATTTAAAATAAGCTCCCATGTTTTAAACAGGTGGTCATAAATAAAAGATAATTTGTATGATCATTTATTTAGTAATAGGTATTTACCAGAAGTGTTTTTGCAGGGTATACAAATTTCATATTATCTGTGAATATACTATCTGGAATTATACATTTTGCACTGTAGTCCACACTGATCCACAAGAATGTTGTGTTATTAGAGTTAGTGTACTCTGGTTCTGCTTCTCAGAAGTGATTTACACTGTTTGCCCAGATCCTTATTGTCACTTTGTGTAGACACCTGATGGATGCACTGGGAACTGACACTGCAGATTTTTCACAGTGCTGCCTGGCATCGTGATTCAGTTGCTGATCTCCTTTGAATTATTGCTTGAGTTTCCTAGTTTCCTTTTGAATAGCTACAGCCTCTTCATGCAATGAGTTTTGGCCCAGTGACATTAAATAATCATTGTTGATTACTGATTGTTTATTGACTATTATATTTAATAACTATAATCAAAATCATAGAAACTATTACCCATGTAAATGATTAATTTAATGTTAAAAGAAACCACTATTAAAACAGGTATCATTTAAATGAAAGGTCTCCTGTGTGTGTTTAGAAAATTTTAAGATTATAGTTTTAATGTCAGTGGTTTATGGTTATTTTTGAAATCAATCTCACTCAGTGTAATTTAAAATTTAGCAAATTTAAAACAAAATTTTTTTTTTTTGGGGGGGGAGAGGTTTTCGCTATAGGGCGTGTGCGCTCGCCAGACAGACAGAGAGAGACAGAGAGACAGAAAGCGAGAAATCCCCCCCCAGAGGGGATGATCACGCCGCAATCCCTTCTCCTCCATTCTCCTCTCGGGATCTTGGGCACGCATGCACACGCGCCCGGTGTGAGTTTTAAGCCACCGGGTCCGGGACGCGAACCGTGGTTGACTATGTGGGAGTCCAGCGACATAGCCATTACGCTAACTGCTGGTTCCAACAAAATATTATTTTTAAAATAACCTGACATGGCAAATCTGAAGGATAGCTGCTTTTCTCTTAGGAGATGCTTAATATTTGTTTTGTTACATGAATATTAAATGCTGTGTATGTTCATAGAACCTTTTGTTTCTATAATGTGTGCCTTTATGGGTTAGTTCTACTAATAGCTTTTTGTTTGTTTGTTTTAGAGAGATTTTGTCTATCAGGTGTGTGGGCTTGCTAGAGAGACAGAGAGACAGAAAGTGAGAAATCACCCCCCACCACCAGCGTGTGGCCATGCCACAATCCCTTCTTCTCCATTCTCCTATCAGGAGTTGGACACACATACATATGGACCTGGCATGAGTTTTAAGCCGCCAGGTCCAGGGCTTGAAGTAAATATGCCATCTACTGGTGCCTGATAACGTTCTTGGAAAATGGAGAATGACATTTTAAAGAAGTTCCCTAGGGTCAGCCAGAAGTGTGTAATGGTTAAGATGGCTGACTCACACAGGGCTGAATGTGTGGTTCCAGTCCTGGACTCAACAGCTTGAAAAACCCTCTGGATGTGTGTGCATGCATGCCCAAAATTCCAAAAGGAGAAATGGAGGAGAAGGGATTGTGGCATGACCAATCTCCATAGGGATTGCTCTCTCACTTTCTCTCTTTCTCTGTTTCTCTCTGGCAAATGCATTCGCCCTCTAGCGAATTTTTAAAGAAATTTACTAAAGTATATCAGTCATGCTACAAGCTTGCCACAAATCATAATGTTTCATCCCCAGGTTTTTTTTTTGTTTTTTTTTTTTAGAGTTTTTTGCTATAGGGGGTGTGCACTTACCAGAAGGACAGAGAGATAAAGAGGGACGGAAAGCGAGAAATCACCCCCCAGGGGGGATGGCCATGGCGCAATCCCTTCTCCTCCATTCTCCTTTCAAGATCTTGGGCACACATGCACAGCACCCGGCATGAGTTTAAGCCACCAGGTCCAGGACTTGAACCATGGTTGACTACATGGGAGTTCAGTGACATAGCCATTTCGCTAACTACTGGTCCCATCTCTCAGGTTTTTCAGTTTGACTTATGAGAATATTTTTCCAATAGCAATTATTAATAAGTATGAAATTCCTTTTATAAAATTTGGCCTTAAGTTTGCTTTCTTAGGATTATGACATTTCTTAAAACAAGATAATTTAGATGTAAAATTCTTCTTTACCAATAATTGATAGTTAATATGTAAAAAGTGTAAGGTTACAGATATGTCATATTTTGTCCTTGCTAATACTGGTAGCATTTAATGATTACAAATGATCTTCAGTGTGAAAAGACTATGTATGGATTTCAAAAATGTTTGTACCAAATAACCATGTTCCATTGACTTCATTTTTTTTGTTTTGTTTTGTTTTAGGTTTTTGTCATAC